CCAAGCAGGATTGGATGAATGAATTCAATGGCAAGGTGCCTCATGGCAGGAGGCCAGTTGGCCTTAGGCCTGAAAGGGCTCAAGGAGGAGGTCACAGGGAATGTTGAAGGCCAGAGAAATGAGAAGGCCTCTTGTCTCTCAGGACATGTATGGGGGTATTAGGAAGAGTAGGTGGGAAGGTGACAGGGGGACTTTTTTTTTTTTTTTTTTTGCGGTATGCGGGCCTCTCACTGTTGTGGCCTCTCCCGTTGCGGAGCACAGGCTCCGGACACGCAGGCTCAGCGGCCATGGCTCACGGGCCCAGCCGCTCCGCGGCATGTAGGATCTTCCCGGACCGGGGCATGAACCTGCATCCCCTGCATCGGCAGGCGGACTCTCAACCACTGCACCACCAGGGAAGCCCCAGAGGGACTTCTTGCTTCAATCCCAGACAGACAGAATGACAGCACTCCCACACCTGGGCCCTAATTTTCAGAATCCACAACTTCTCCACAGAGACCTAACACAAACCTATTCTTCCTTTCTCCCAAAGGGACCTCTGAACTAGAAGGCCAACAGTCCCTGGAATGTACATCCCCTTAAGGCAAAAGCTGCTAACTGGTTCCAGAATGGAGAGCACGGTCCAGGGTGGAAAGCTCCCCAGGGAAGGGTATGGGAAGAAAGCAACAGCCCAGCTGAAGCTCTCTGGGACACCCAGGTGACTGTGATGGGATCAGAAGATAATCATGCTGATGGGATGTATAAAGCATCAAACCCCTAGAGGACTTGGCTTGTGAAGTATATATTCTGGCCAGTACACCTAACACTAGGGATACTAAAAGGACATTAAAGAGGAATTTTTCATGGTAATTCACCACCAATGGATCAAATACTCACATTCTGGCAACTAAGAGCTTTGTTATTCCTCCCCCACCCTTAGTGCCTCTGGATGCTCCAAGAGCTGCATCAGGTGCATTACCTGTCCTGCCAATGCCTGCACTGCAATGGACCACAATGGGTGGCTCAGGGCACTGCCCTTTGGAGCGTGCTCCCATGCTGCTGACGGCCAGCCTTTGCTGGTTCCTGACGGCTCTCAAGAAATCAATAAGGGAAGCTGCCGAGGAAGGGACACCATAATCTGGCCAGCTCAGGAACTGAAAGTGGGTCACGTGGCGTTTCTGCCGTTCCTTGGATGAAAACAGAAGCAAAAGTTAATGAGGTCATTTCTCCTTGCCTCTGACTACCTTTGGCTTTTCCAGATTCTCAACCCTCTGGAATTGCTATCACCAAGGTTCTTATCACCCTCAACTTTCTCCACAATTGCTTCTCTATGAACACAAAGGAAAGATTAAATGTCTGGAGAGGGCAGAATTCCTATATTATATGATCCAGATTTCTTATGTTATAAAAAGTTTCATTCCTAAGTAATGCCACTGTTGTGTTGAGACAATATGGCTATTCTGGCTCTGAGTCGAATATCCTGACCCTGTTTCCAGAAGAATGGAAGTAACTTATAAGCTCCCTGGAATCCTGCCTACTCCCTTTGGAGATTTTCTTTACAGTAAGGGTTTTCCCCCAGCTTCAAAAGAGTGAGAAAATAAAATTTACCTCTGTGTTGTGAATTTCTAGCGTTGTTTTCTTATAATGGTTCATATTCTCCACGCCTAGATTGGTCACTGTGAGGAAGCCAAATCGGATCCGAGAGTCTTTTTCTAAAGGCCAGTATTGGCCACACTTTCTCCTGCCGCCCTCCTCAAAGCTGAAGACACACAGAGAAAGATAAGCCTTCCATCCTTCTTCTCCACAGCAATAACTCTGCTCTACCCATGACCTGCTGTACCCTTAGGCAGAAATGTCATCTCTTGCATTGCTTCTGTCTAATCTATCCCCTTGCTTCTTGGCAGAAAAAGGAAACCTTCATTCTAAACAGATGTAACAACAGCTAAATTTTCTGCATGTACTCATTCAGTGGACATTTATTGAGCACCAGCTACATCCATTTGGTCCCTTTCCTGATACCTCTTGGTACTCCTCACATATCTGGCATAAATACTGGGTGGACAAAGAAAGACAGTAGAGAAAATATGGTGGGCCAGGTCGAACTCCCTGCCCTATATCAGTTACTGTTCATTCTCTTCCCCGGTGAGAGCCCTTGGCCAATAGAGGAGTGGGAAAGGCACAGTTCCTGGGATGCCAACAGGAGGTTTATGTAGAGGCCTGAAGTCCACCTCACCACTCTTCAGTGGCTCCAAAGTACTCCAAGGTGGTACTTCTTCCACGACCTCCCCTCCAAATCAAAGGTGGCTTGTAACAGTGCCATGAGGAAGGGACCTGAGCAAACATTCTTATTAATTTTTTCTCCTCATCTGAAATGGGTTATAATTATCATAATGATAATGACGATACTCATGAAATATTAATTCCTAAGGTTGTGGCAGATACGTACACCAAAATTTCAAAAATATTCCTTTCGTCAAGAGCTTCCTGCCTGACCTATTATGTTTCACATCTCTTTTTTTCAAGTTCTCCTACAGGTGGAAATTTCATATTTCATATGAAATATTTCTTCATATTTCCAAGAAGAAAAATGGTCAAAAGTAGCAGGGAA